AGACATTAAAATTCGAATTAGCTTGCCAGGACAACACCTGGTGATTTTCTTATAGTGAGAATAATCAGGATTGACATCTATTATCTATGCTTTGGCTTCGCGAAATGCTTTGGTCAATCATTGTGGATTTTAGCCCGAAAATATTTTCATAAATGTGTTAATTTATAAAGAAATCCAACAAACATACATGGCTGTTTGAATGATTCATGGCTCGGAACATAAACGGCATGTCTGCGAAAGATCCTATGCTTTATCATTTTCCTGTCAGTTCCTCTCTGCAGATTAACAGAGAAGCAGTGGAGCACACGGAAAAGTTCAAGTACTTCAGGGTCGTATTTACTAGCGATGGACCGGCGGATTGCAGTAGCCAGTGGCGTTCTGCGTGAACTAGTCCGACCCAAAGTGACTAAAGCCTAGCTGTGTCTAAAGACTAAGCTGTTGGTGTTCAGGTCAATGTTTATCCCCATACTTACTTACGGTCATGAGCCATGACTGAAACATTTATTCCGCCAATAAGCTGGTGAAATGAGCTTCCTGCGACGAATCTATGTGCTCGCGCTTCTCAACATGTTCCAGAGTACCTTTGGATAAAGCCGGTGCCTCTCCAGATTATGAAGGTACAGCTGCGATCTGCGATGGCTTGGTACATATTGCGAATCACTCCAGAAAGGAAGGAACAGCAACTGTTATCCCCACCGACCGGCTGAAGATCAAGGAGAAGACCAAGAATAATTGTGAGAAGCGTTTCGAAGAACTCTATTCCAGGCTCAGGCTACCTTAAGCCGAAATTCAATGAATCGGGTTCACTTGAAACACTGTCTGACGCGTCTGCCTTCGCGACTCGAAAGGATATGAAATCATCGAAACTACTGACTAAAAACGAAGCATGATGGCACAACGGAAGTTGACATTGAACTCCGGCTGAGTCGAGTTTAGATCCTGAGAAAGAGCAAAAGTAGCTCTAGCTCCAGTTGTTAATTTCTTTGAACAAGGAATCGGCCACATTGAGCGTCAGTGCAGTCAGCTGAGAAAAGAGTTACTACATACTAGATGGTCGCTGACTTGCCAAAAACAGGGATTGTAGGATATTTTTGTGTGAAGACACCCGAATGACGAGATGTACGACCATGCTATCCTCTGCGCGCGTGTTTTATGGCTGCACTACTTCGTTGATAGATGACCGTTCAATAGAAGCCACACAGGGTATAGCCTGAAGAAGCAGTATCTTTTAAATGACTAATTCAGATAAGACATAGCGTGGCAGACAGTCTAGCATAGTTTAATATAATAATGGTACCGCATTGTTTTTTCAGTCAAAGTTGTGTAGAGTAAAGCTAATCATTCAATTTTGGTATGCTCATAAGACAAGCAGTTTCCGCAGACCATGATGTAATATATGAATGGAAATCAATCGTTTCGACGACTGAACTTAAGCAAAACTTGAATATAAATTACCAAATTTACTTAACGCATTCGCTTGCACAGTTATTAAGTACTGCTTGTGGCATTTCTTCGTACCAGGCGCCGTGACGCATTCGAAGTGCCTGAAACAGCTCATTGTGAAAACTGGAGTCGGCATCAGCCGCTGAATTTCAACAAGTTCATTACTTCTGAGACATCTGAAAAAATCACTGGAAACTGAACGTTCTGAATGCAGAAGAAATTTGCGAGAAACTAATCATGCGGGAGAAGTTTCTGCAATCTGACTGGGTTTTCAGGAGTCACTGTAGTAATGTTACATGAAAACAAAGCTTAAGTGGCTGAGCATAATAAGACATTACCGGCTCTGAGAACAATGCAAGAGCAAAGTGTGACTTTTGCCGATTTTACATGAAATGTTTCCACTTAATCAGGATTTGGCTTGGACAGATTATTTTATCCACGTCTTCCATGATCTGCCGCTAGATGACTGAGTAGAAAGACGGTAACTGAACTCCATCGTAAATATGTACAGCCGTTGCGAGAGGAAATTAAGCAAGAACTCATATCTTTAATTTCGCAATAAGCTCAACAGGGTTTTCGCGTTGGCTGTCTCCTGAAATCCTCATCTCCTTCAGCCTTTGCATACGCGAAGCGTTTCTGTCTTGTGAGGTCCGCTGAATTCACAATTTACGAACTTTTGAGATAAGGCACCGATTACTGCATGGTAGAAAAAAATTTCTCTCTGAGAACAGACTGTCGTTTTATCGCTCTTTCACATTGTATGGTGGCCCTTTTATCAACCTCTGCCGTTTTTCGATTCTCGCGTAAGAAGCTCATCTGCTGGAGCAAATGACTTTGTTCAACCAATATGTCTAAAAAGAAAACTGTTTTCTTAATCTCCACATTTACTGAAGTCACGTGCGCCTAGAATAGAGTAGAAACTTCTCCAATTGCTTCATCACCCTGCACTACCTGTAGATCATCTTTTGCGCATGGATTCCTCGCAACTTTAGACTCCCCAGAATTAAGGAAAATACCGACTTTCGCAGCAGGGTTCCATGCGGAAGCCGTCATGTGACAGAATTCACTTCCTGTACTACTAACCAGAACAAAGCACTCCAGACCAGCAAGAAATTCTAGCCAGAAATCATGATGTGCTTCTTTCCTCTGAAATGGCACTTTCGACTCTACGGGGGTCAGCACTGTTTCGGAGAAGAAAGTCGATAACAAGGTTGAACAAAGGCAAGTGCATATTTCACAGCTGAACTTCGTAATTATTGAGAAATCATTCAAATTCTACTGGCTGTTCTTCAACTCTGACAGCAGGTGCCTCTGCCATACATCTCCTCGAAAACAGGAACCAGGTTCTAATGTATCTTGAAGTATTTCAAAATTTTCAGACGATATAGTGAATCAAATGCAGCCTTAAATTCGATGAACCGGGCAATCCAAACCAACTGAAATCATCGGCATTGCTCATTCAAATACACAGAGTGAAAATTTGGTCAGAGCAAGAGTATATTTTATCCGAAAATCTACCATAAATCGCCTACCTCATCCTCTGCGGAATAACCGAAGAGAAAACTTATCCACAGTTGACAGTGGTGCGATATTACGATAACTGGAGCATTCGCTCACTTAACCACCTAAAAATATAGGGGCAATCACTCCATACTCCCTTTCTTCTAGGAAGCTGATGGAGGTTCCCAATTGACGAAATAGAGCTTAGAACACTTCTTACCATTCCCGTTCCTCCATAGTTAGTTAACTCAGGAGGAATTTTATCTACCTTTCAGGACTTCTTCACCTTAAGGTGCAACAAGGTCTTTTGGATGTCTAGTTTTTTCCGTGAATTAGTCTTCGTCTTCCATCGCCGATTCTCCTTTTGGGTGATGGAGGCAGAGGCGTCACAGAGAGCTTCCAACGATCCTGATCCTGTGCCAGAATATGAGATTCGGCAGAAGACAGCTGGAATATGGAACAGACACCACCCATATGTTTGGCATTAATCTTGGACGTCGCCTGGGCCTTCTGCCGGTCGGATCTGCACGAAAAAGTTGCTTAGCCTTCCTTTCCGGAGGCATTCGCAACACCTGTCCAAACCATCGCAGCTGTGACTTCTTAGTCTGGAGAAGCAAAGGCTGTATACCAAGGGTCTTTCGAGTATCAGTATTCCGGACCATGTCGAGACGCGTAAGGCCAGCGACTCGTCTAAGAAAACCCATTTCAGCAGCTTTTACCCGGGTTCGAAGTTTTTCATTGATCGCCCACGACTCATGACCGTAGGTAAGTATGGAGATAAAGATC